TTTCGCAGCCACAGCCTACTGGCAGCTGTCCCAGAGGGGCAGATGCCTCTATTGGCTGTGCAGTCCCCATCCAGGTCTGGCAGCAGGTCACAGCCAGGCAGCAGCCCCCACTGCCAGACTGCTGCAGTGGGTAGAGGGTGCAGGGAACGCTCAGGGCTGCTTAAGCAGTCCAGCAGGCACAAGGGGTAGTGTCCCCAGGTACCAATTGGCTGGGCCCCAGAAGCTCCTGAGTGCGAGCAGCCCTGAGCTGCTTGCCAGGGTAGCTTTTTATACTGCTGGGGGCAACACAGGTGCTCGCCCTGGGCTCTACCTCCCCCTGGCTGCAGATCTGGGAGGAGCCAGGCAGGGTTATTTTGCCCCAAGTGGCACAATTTGCTCTACAATAAAGTGCATGTCCAAGCACATGCGCTGAGGCAAAAAGCCCTGGCTCAAATTTGCGCCACTTCTATTTGAGCTGCTACAATTGCATGCGTTTGCATGTGTGGATGCGCCCAATGTGGGCTGGAGTAAATGCATGTGTAGATGCCCCCAGCGTTGCCAATATTCAGTACATCCAGCTACAGGTAATAGTGCACACTGAGAGGATGTTATTTGTTAAAAAGGCAAATGAGATGTTGGCAAAAAGGCAACCCATTGTGGTTTATGAATCTGCACACAATTTTCAAATTTTACTACAAAGTATGAAATGCAAAGAACATTACTTACCGTTGTAACCCAAAATCTGTGCAGTGCTTTAGTGCAACAGCAGCGCAAAGAGAACCCACAGCTGATTCTACAATTCCATTGCACACCTAAAAATAAGTTTTCGTCTTAATAAATAATAAATAAAGCACGATACTATAATTTTTAGAAGTTACAACAACTTCACCCATCTTTGTTTATACCCGTATATAAATGCAAACAAATCTATAGCTGTGGAAAATCAATATTAGTTATCTCCAGTTAAATAGAAGCCAAAAGGTTTACTAATATGCTGAGGACTAGCAATATATTATTTGGTTTAAGATCTAAGTAAAAACAAATATAACTACTGGAATGTGCACTAATTAGCACAGATATTAAGATTATATATTAATTTAAAAAAGATATTGTGGGAGCATCTACACATGTCCACAGTTGCACATTTGGTACTTGCTTTAGCAAATGACTACACAGTAACTGCCAGTACTGCGCAGCCCCAGCAGCGCATGGTTATTTTTAGATGCTACGCTGCCGTAGAGTCAGCGTCACAATTTGTGCCTGCCAATGCTAAGTCACCACTGCAACAAGCTATGACAACGTAACGTTGTTTGTAGACGGACCCTGTGTCATTAGCCCTCTATGTGTCATTAGTGAAATGTACATCTCTCATTCAGATTCATAAAACATGATCTGATCTTCTTGATCATTTTGACAGAACTTCTGATACTTCACTGGGTGCATCTACATGAGACGTTTGCTACAGAACAGATTAATTAGTTCCACAGCAAACATCTCATGTCTATACATTCGACCCCCATTAAGGCCACAGGAAACTAACCGACTCCACATCAAGGTAGTACTTGTACATACAAGTACTACTCTGCTGCAGAGGTTTTTCATAAGCAGCAGCACTTGTGTAGACGCTGACCCAGCTGGCTAGGGCACAAGGTTGCTTCAGTGCGGGAACACACTTGTGCCCCAGTCAGCCCTTATGCAGCACACTGAGGCGAGTCAGAGCAGCCTCAGGCTTACCTCTGGGGCCCCCTGACAGCCAGGGCTGCTCCAACCTGGCTCAACATGCTGTGGTTCCGGGCACATGTTCAAATGGCATGCACAGGAGCAATACGCTCCAGTGCAATATGTGCCCGAGTTTATTGCTGCATGCCAATAGCATGTGTAGACATGCCCTCTGTCAGTCTTTTCTACACCTGAGTTAAGGCTTTTAGCTAGAACTAAAAACAGTCTTCAGGGCTGTGAAACTGAAGAGAGACATTTACCAGGAATACCTAAGACACAGCAAAATTGTTGAAGGAAGGATAGCCTGAATAACAGGACATCAAGATCATTAAAAAGGAGAGAGGGTATTAACACCTGTTAAGTGCAGAGAGATTAGCAGGAATCAAGGAGATAATAAACCATGAAGTCAATTGACTCTCTCAGTGCTGTTTGAAGAAAAAAGCCACTCTCCCCACCATGGCAGCTGATTTTAAAGTTTGGGATGAACAGGAATCAAAAAAGAGGGGGAGGAGCTGAACCACTGCACTTCCCCTTGATCCACCCTGATCATAAACATCACTATCTCCACGACTTTGAACAAATCATTTTACTTTCTTGTCTCCCTATCTATTTAAGAGGGCTAATATTAATACTTACACAAGGTTTGAGGATTAATTGGTTAATGTATTTGTAATGCTCTAAAGTGATTTAAGCACTCAGCAGAAATATGGTCTTCTCCCCAACTGTTGGCAGAGCAAGCTTAGCCTGCAATCTGGCACTCAATATGCTCTCTCATTAGACTGTGGATTTTTAGCATTTGCCATTTGATTATTGGTTTTCTTTACCAGTATTTAGCACCTGACTCTCTCTCCCAGTCTGTAATTATAGAAGACATTAAAAGAAGTAATAGATTTACTTTTGTTACTTAAGAATGCAGATCTGATTTTGAATACCAAAAAAACAGGAAGCAGATGTATTGCAGAAAAGGGGTCATTTTGACATTCATTTTTCTGACAAGTACTGCGCTTTAGAAAGGTGATTTTTATCTAGGTGGAAAAGGTGGCAACTCCACTAGGACAAAGCTTACACTCATGTATCTTTTCCTTGTTATTCATAAGTCTTCTTGTCACATCTAGGAGATATTTATGATATTTGAGTTTAAACATAAACCCATGCCGCCTTAATTCCTGATTCTGCAATAAAATGACTTTGCTGAATTTAAGCGCTTACATTAATATTCATGGCAATATTTCTGTGATGTTTTAAACAAAACAGAATTATGGCATCACTGAAAGATTAAGCATAGAGGAAATGACAAGTGTTGATTAAACCCTTGCCCAGGTATAAACAAAAAGAATTGCAAAGGGATAAATTGATATATGGCATATAGCTGAAATTAAAAGGTAATGTATGATGTCACCCCAATGATAGGACCAAAAAACAAAACTCTACTCAGGTTTTCCTGGATGCACCAGGAGATGAATAAATTTGTGATACTTCCACAGGCTATTGCATGGCCATGGCTCTAGCTTCTCCTCACTCTGCTTTTCATGAAACATCTAAAATGGTTTCTGCACTTCTCTTGCTGGAATAATGATTTGAGTAATGCTGATGCATTCTTAGACCCTCATTATTTGCCCAAAGGCAATACAGAAAATGCCTTCTGTAAACTGCTATTACTCTAGTAAACAAGGAAACAAACAAAACAAAAAGAAAACCAGCCAAGGCAATTTGTATTACCTCCTTCCTAAGTATTTTATCGAGGACAGCCAACATATTCCCAAAAGGAATTAAAGCCTCATCCTCTTTCACACCATCTGAATAAAACCTGCTGTAAAATAAATTACAAAATTAAAACTACTAAAGACTTATTGACAAATCAAGGTTAGGAATATCCTCTGAACAGTAAAATTATATGGCTTTTTGCATAGGAATGCTAATTACTCAGTGTTAGTAATCCATTATGTGCGTATTTCACAACAATCACCCTCAAAAAGCTAGAGCTGTCCCCCCCTGTATTTACTGTCCCTCCCCCCACATACTAGAACATAAGTAAAAGCTTCTGAATGTTTTTACAAAACAAGAATTGTATTTTAAACCCCCCACTTCTTTCACATCTAAAAGCTTCAGTTTTCAATTCAGATCCATCTCTTTTTTTATGGTCAAAAGTGACCAAAGAGTCTGAACCTTAAGAAACCTTTATCAAAATTAGTATCTCTGCACTACATGGTCTGGATTTGATAAAACAGCATTTTGTTAAAAATATTCCAAACGGCTTTACAAAGAGTTTTGAAGTGGCACGTAAGCAGATTTCATTCCCCTCATTTTTCATCTGGGAAGGTAAGACAGAGGTTAAAATTAACATCAAGTCCAGGGGGGCAATAGCAAAGCTAATAATAGAAGACAAAAACACTAAATTCAAATCCTGCAATCAAATCAATATACAAAGCCTCTCCTCATAATTACCGACAGAAAAGTAAAATCAGACAAACCTGATAAGGGCTTTACAGTCTTTTGTATTGATTTCCTTCTCCACTTGAACAGAAATTGGGAGCAAACTTTCAGCACCTATAGAGACAATTGCTGCTGATGTTTTAACAGGAGGCACTGGAGACAGAATTTTTTTCATGTGTGAATTCAAAAACCTCTCTGTTTTGATGGCTTCATCACTATAACTCTTCCCAACTGTTTGTTCTGCTGTAGGATGCACACTGGACTGCACCAGCTCAGGCTCCATCACTGAGTGAGATTTGGTGCTGAGATCTTGTAACAGTCCTACATCTAGTGAAAGCAAAAAGCATTTTCATTTCACAAGTATCATAAAAATGCAAGCACCAAATATATTTACCATATTTCCACTTTATTGAATTTGTTAATCAAAGTGGTGTTCATTTAGTGGTGGAAATATATTCAGATGCTAATTTCAATTTCCCCAGGCAACAGATTTTCAGATGTGATATTTAGTAGGTGCATCTACATGTGCAATTAATGTGATCTGATAAACTCCAACTCTGTTTGAGCTGAAGCCAGCTGCTCCAGGGGTAGTGTCTGCACATGCACCCGGAACTGTAGTAGTTTGAACTTGAGCAGAGCAGTCCTGGGCTAGCAAAGGGCAGTGGGGGTCAGCCCCGGGTGCCAGGTGGCAGCATTAGTCAGTGGAGGGGATGGCTGGGGCACTAGGATACTAAAGTGTGGGGCTAGGTGGCAGGCAGCCCCTGCACTTTACCACCCTTGTGCCCCAGCCAGCTCATGTCGCCATCTACACGTGCAATTCAGTGGAGTTAAGTACTCCATCGTAGGATAGTACTGTCACTGACTATCTTGAAGCAGAGTTAATTTATTTACTGCACCCCGATACTGGCATATGTGTAGGTGGTAATGCTCTACTGCAGAGCTAATTAGTCAACTCTAATTAAAAAACTAATTAATTAACTAATTAATTAAAAAACTACACAGTAAAGCACATGTGTAGATGCACCCAGTGTTACTGTATTGTCTTCAACTGGTGGATATCATAAATTATCCTAACACACAGTTTCAACCTTCACTTAATATTAAAATGAATAAATAGATGTTTCTGGCACTTTTACTTGAGTGTCAAATACTGTTCTGTACTCTGACCCAATCCTATTAATATTTATTTTAACTGGGCTGAATTCACAAATTATGTACATAAAAGTTGTGTGTGTAAATATATATATTTTTTAAATCGGTGCATAAAAGGTATGCTCAAACTTTAGTTTATGGTTGAATTACTTGAATAAGAGATTAAAATCCAATATATGATGCTTTTCTTTAATCTTAGTTAAAATGTTTACAACCCAAACGATTAGCAGTAGCAGAGGACAGTCAAGTCAACAAAATAAATAATACAGGATAAATATTTTCAAAATAGGTACCATTTAATATGGTAAATTAGTGATAGGAAAAAACAGCTGTAGTTAGTAGAGTCTTTTACTCAAGAAATATTACTAGTAATTGTAAGAAGGAAAAAAAAAATCAACATAAAGCAGAAAGAAATGCACAGTATTCTTTAACACAGGATTTAATCCAGTCCTAAGACACTACATTTGAAACCATGCCCTCACAAAGGTGCTTCCCAAACAGCTACTTTGAACAACTGTGCAGATAGAGTAGGATGCTGAAATGAGGTTAATCCTTTGCACACCTGGGGCCACCTAGCTTCTTTACTTCCTATTACACATGCTAGCACCTCCAACACATTTAGTCACACATTTAGGATGTGAAAGCACTTTTGAAACAATAGGGGCCAGATTCTGATCTGGTATTAACAATGTCAATCAGAAGTCAATGTTGCTATGTCAAAATAAGATAACTAATTTGATGTTCTGGGGAAGTAGGTAAGTTTTCTGAACCTAGGGATGCTATCCTTCAGGTTTCCCAGCCTTTCATGTGTGTATTCAGTTTAATCACTCACCCAAGAAGAACAGAACAGTAATTACCTTCATGTATCAAACACTTCCAGTAGGTTTTATGTGCAGCTCTCACATTTTGTATAGACTCAACAGCACTACAAAGAGAAATGATCAAAATCAACAGTTCAGATAACAGTACAGGAATGGTTACTGGTCTGTTAGGAGGGTGGGGTGGAAAAGAAGGTTTATGTACACATGCCCTGGGAGGGGAGAGTCACGTAGATCAGCATGCCTGCACTGAAAAATGGTGGCAGGGGCACTTTAACTAAAGCTCATTTGATGAGCTTTAGTTAAAGTGTCCCCACCACCATTTTTTCTGTGCAGGGATGCTGTTACATATGAAGTTGGAGTCTGTTGGAGTGCGGTAATTTCCACACTTGAGCAGACTCTGCTCCAACGCACTGTAATTACAGCACATCAGAGCATCTTCAAGCACATGTATAGGAGCCCTAAGACACTACTCAAGAAGTCTTGACTAGAAAAACAAAGAGGTGGAAGGTCAGTGGACCTGTTACTGGGACACTTTCAAGTGTCAATAAGAGGAAACAGTTTGAACACATAATTTGAACACATCACTGTCAATTTGTTCAGTACCTTACAAGGAGAACCAAATGGAACCCTTTTTAACTCAAGGGAGCTCTCAGTAAGCACAAAGGTCTGCTCAAGGAGGTCCGAAGTAGAACTGGACCCAAAAAAAATACCGGGATGTTCGTTGTTACTTCACTGGGTTGAAAGTAATACTGTATTTACTGAATTCCAAGACTAGTTCTTCCCCCCTTACCCCATTTAACATGGGGGGAAAAACCCCCTTGTCTTTGAATTGACTACAAGGTGATGGGGTTGCAGGCAGCAGCTGTGGCCCTGGCTCAGGATTGGAGTCTCAGCTGCTTGCCCCACCACCTCTGTACACAGCTCCCCCACCACCTCTGCACCCCTGCCTCTCCTCCCTGTAGCCTCAGGCCTCAGCCCATCTTTCTCTCCATTTTCTGCCCCCACTGTAGCCTTCCACATCACCTGTCCTTTATCACCTCCCCACCCCCATAACTACCTCCCTCACCATCTGACCCCTTCCACTGTTTTCCTTATTGCAGTAGGGGGGAGGGGGCAAATTTAAGATGATCCTCCAATAATTAGGTTGTATACATGGAAAATTATGGACAAATATTATATATTATATAAATTATATTATATTTATATATTTTTCCATGTACATAATTTAATTACTGGAGGGGGTCATCTTGGATTTAGGTAAATATAGTATGTCTCTTTTCCATATTATTTATACTGTTTTGCAGAAACAACTGGGGATCCTAATCAGGAACCCACTGCCCTGACTCTTGCATAAACACTAAGTTAACAAAAAGAGATCTGCCCCCAAATGTTATAGTCTAAAGCTATGACAAGATGCAGCAAGTGAACAAAACAACTAAATTGTTGTAAGGGGGAAAAGAAAAAATAAGGTAACAATAACATAAGCATGTTTTCATATACACAGCTCACCAACCACTGCTTGGTATTTTCTGGTATTGTCATTCTATGTACTATGAATCTAACCTGGGCTGAGGTGGGTGTCAACAGGGAAGAGGTCTAAGGACAGAGATAGTTAAAAAAAAACAAACAAAAAAAACCCAAACCCAAAAACTCTCTTCCCAAGTACATTACATTTTAATTTGAAATAAACTCCAAAAGAAAAACAAACAAAGACAGAAACTAGGTAATCTCTGGAGTGAGAATGATCAGAAACAAAAAAGTAAAATAGTCTAGCAGCATTTTAAGGCTCGGAGAAAAGCAAAGTATTTTAGGCACATATCTAACTTTAATAAGATTATTTATATGCCTAATAGAACAATTCCTGTACTTAAAATTTAAAACGTGTACACAAGCACCTTGGCTTAATCATCACCACTGTCATACTATTTAATTATATTTATTCATCAGGATTACATTAAATCAAATATTCTACTTTCTATGCATGAGTTTTAAAGGAGTTCTTTTTTCCCCATACCTATATGAAGAGAGAAAAAAACAGGAGTACTGTAAAACGCTTCTAAATTTGATTTTAATATCACCCTCAAATAGCTCAGATTCCATGTCTTTCCATCTTAGTAAGAACAGACAAAAGATTACATGCAGCAAAATATTTATTGATCCGTACCTTATGCATGGTACCATTTCTCCAGACACTTGGGGTATAGGGTCTCCAAGCAGAGTTTTTATAGTCATGAACACTGAATCAGACAATGACTTCAAATGGTACCCACCCTGAGAAAATGAAGCTATGCTTTGTATATTGCAAAAACAAATATTTACTAAATCTACATGAAAAAAAATTGACATTTTATTACATTTGTAGGAAACATATTGGCTAAAAATGTCTACATACACCTTTTGAAATATATGTTACGTATACAGACATATCCATGTGTCATGTAAATGGAAAGCAACACAAAAATAAATAGTAAGGTAAAATTTCAAGAATCAACAATATTCAGCATGAAAATAATTAGTCATAGACAATGTATTAAATTCCATACAAAATTCCACTGTATTCCATTAAATTCCATTAAATTCCACTGTGCAACATGGTGCAGATATGACTGATTTTCAAAAATGTAACAGAGCCAAGTAAACATTGTAACTAAGGGTAAGATATTGTACTATGGCACTAAGCAGCAGAGCACAGACCACGCAGTTCAAAAGGTGGGTAAAGGATTTTGCATGGCCTTTAGCCATCTTTTTACTTCCTTAATCTTTAGCTGTTCTTATGGCTGGTGAGATGACTGGCATTAATTTGGGACTAATCTACGGGGTATTTATCAACAATGAACAGGGGAATGACTGCTATAGTTAAACTGTTGCATCCCCCTGTATAGTTACTTTTCTTCAAAACAATAGAAGTATTTACATGAAAAAGATTACTGTCATTCAAAATAAGAGCGATTACACAGGGAGTTATACCAGCATAAATTCAGCCATGTTTTTATATTGGCATTGTAACAATAGTAAATTTTCTTGTGTGGACTAGTCCTTAGATAGAATTCTAGTGCCAGGTTACAGAAGGTTCCCTAGGCTTTGTTATGGGCCACAGCACTGCCTGAGACTCTCTGGTCCTGGACAGACTCCCCATTCCCACCCCATACATGACAAATCTCCTTCACTAGGACATTTTTGTGGGAGATGTCTTTAGAAGGCAGCACTGTTATTTTCCATTGGTGCCTGCAGGAGGGTAAGCCTCCCCCAGCGCTACTTTACCTTGCTGTTATTTTTTATTTTTTTAAATAAAAAAGCGAAATCAGTAAGGTCTCTATTACAGGACTAATACTTAGGCTAACATATTTAAAAACGTGTTTGGGGCAAGGGCTTGGAACAACTTTTGTAATGCAGATTATTCACCAGTAACTCAATAGATTTGATATGGTCCAGACCAGTTGCCCAGTTGCTGAGCACAAGCAACCTACATGGAACCTATGTGCAATATTTAATCAACCTATAAAATCTTCATATAAATTTCTGCTCTATCATAAATATATAGATTGCAAACTGTCAGTATGAGATTCATTATTTTAGTTTGTAAGAGCACTGTAAAATTCCTACCATTTTTGCGTTCTGTTTCTCAAAAGACATTCATTTTCAGAATTAAGGGAAGAACTTTTGCTGAGATTTTTTTATTTCTAATTTCAGGCTAGGGTTGTGGGACTCCATAAAAATCTCTCCTCTGCTGGTTCAAAATGCATGTAAAAATGCCATGTGTTAAAACTTTACCTCTAGAACTGCACACAGTTTTCCTTTAGCTAACTGCATTAGGAAATGAGTTAGATGGGCAAAGCACTCTGGTGTAGCATTCATTTGACCCTAAAAAATTGAAAATGTTAGAAACAGATCAGAATTTGTCAATAAAGTTAGTAACATCAAAACTGGGTATTGCAGTATTCTGCCTATAATAATAGGCAATTCCAATCCGACTTCAGAGGTAGGTTGAAGAAACCCACAGTAGATAACAGGAGAATCTGCCCCCTGAGGGACTTAATTTAATCTAGAAGTATTAAGGATTAGGATAAGACCTGAAACATGTAGTTTTATGCTTGTTTCAAGTACAATCTATCAACTGCTGTACAACAATGACACTTAAAATATGAGGTTTTAAAAAATAAATGACGAATGAGAGCATGGAATCCCTGTATGAGTCCTTACCTCGGGGTCTCCAATTCCTGAATCATACCCAGCTGAGACAAGGACCAGCTCTGGATCAAACTATAAACAAAAAAGAAGTAATTCTCTCTCTCATTTTTATAGTTCTGGGACCCACCCATAGCTTTGTGGCTTATGGGCCCAAACCTGCCATCCAATTTGCCTACACACACAAAAACTTTTCCTAAGTAAAGATTGCAGGAATGGATTTTATGTTCTACCTGGAAAACTTACAGACCTTTACACTGAATATTTAAAAAACCCCCAACTACTTGGTAGGTCAGGCCATTATTCATGCAGCAGAACAGGTCCCACAGAAATAGTGTATCAACTGCATTAGAAATGAGTGCCACTTTTCTACACCCATATCTCTTTTACCACTTTAAAAGGCGCTTAGGAAATTCAGGGGTTTAAAGCAGACACATTACCTCAAAAGCCAAAGGAAGCAACACGTGGAAAAATGCAGCTAAATAGTCTGAATTTCCCATCCCAATCTGCAAAAAGAATGAATAGTAAATTAATGCCTTTTTCTCCCCCTCCCCCAAGTAAACTATGTATTTTCTATGTTTCAACAGAGTCTTACTAAAAGACAGGACAAATCATTAAATCCAACACTGGAGTTTTAGATCAGGGGTTGGCAACCTGCGACCCATGGACTCACTGGATCTGGCTTGCAGATGTGGGGTTTTGGCAGGGAGAGGGCTTTGATGGCAAGGACTTTTTCCATGAGATGGCAGGGAGATGCAGCAGTGAGGAAAAATCAGTGGCAGAACTTCTCCTGTGACACGGTGGGAAAAAGAGGCAGTGGACCTGCCCCTTTGACCCAAGCTGGCTCATTCTGGTCCACAGTCTGAAAAGGTTGCCAACTGCCACCTTAGACGGTAAGATCCTGTTCCAGTATTCCATTGCTATTCAGGAAAGTACTCATTCACCAACCTCAAGGGATTTTAAGCATGAGCTTAGGTTCTTTGCCGAGTAGGACTGGACTTAATCAAGTGCTTAAACCTTAATTAAAGCAGAATCTAAGTAGGCAGCATACAGGTAGAAGAAGCAAGAAGTGTGAATCAATGACGTCTTTATATCATCAGACTGGAAATCATATTTTCTCAGGAGACACCAACAACAGTAAGATATACCAGGTGTCACAACTGTCACATAATCAAGTCATCAGGTCAGTTCCAATAAAAAGCATTGCCCTGAATTCATAATAAAGCTACTAGATTCACCCTATTACACTATCAAGCAAGATTTACCTTATTCCAAGGAACATTTATATTGAATCCTTTTCCTTTACCCTGACCAATGGCATCATAATCAGATTCTCTGAGCATTGGCCAGAATTGCTGATGTTCATAGCGATGCCAGGAAAAATAGAGAACACTGAAAGAAAGAATAAATCAACCTGACTTGAACAGAAATTGTCAAAGATGACACTTAGCTCTTTTCACATCTGCCCTCTTTGACTCTTGGTAGAGGTTTTAAATAGAATATTTAACCATCCTTATTTCCCTGAGCAATCTGGAATGCTATGCTACTGTCCTAGTGACATTCAACTAGGACACTTGTGCTCTAAGTTTCTAGCATGGATTCTTTTATGGCCAAAGACAAAACATTTTCAGAAGATAGACCTTACAGCATCCAATTCAGGGTCTATCATTTTTAGGAAGCCACATATATTTTAGTGTTCAGTGAAAATTTGGATAATGGTACGGAGAAATCTTTCTATCAAAGATAGCCATAATGTTGAGATTGTATCAGTTATTTTTCCAGCTCCTTGTTCTCTTTTTCTACCATGTTCAGTTGTCATTATTTATCAAACAAAAAATATTTAAATTCAACAAAAAGAATTTTGTTAGTCTACTGTATGGCTGAAGAATGACAGGCATTTTGTAAGAATTTCCATTTTCAGAATAAGAAGGGTTTTATCTTATAGAGAGGCGAACATTATTTAACTAGCCTGACAAACAAACAAGCAAGAAAAAAAATTCTACAAACCTGGGATCATCTTCAAATATATACTGAATCCCTTGTCCATGGTGTATATCCCAGTCTACAATTAGAATTCTGAGTGAATCAATGACAGAAAACACTGAGTCAAAAAAACCACAGCACCCTAGTAACTACAAATAAACAGAGGAGATTGATTGGCACAAAACGCACCTCACTTCCCATAGATTTTCAATAAGATTAGGTACCTAATACCATATGTGCCTTTGAAAACCTGTGCCAGAGGTAAACCTACACTAACCTCTGTAGACCATATTTTCTTTTTGCATATTCTGTGGCAATAGCAACATTGTTGAAGATGCAGAACCCATTAGCTGCAGCTCTCTGGCTGTGATGACCTGGAGGCCTAAAACAGGTTCACAAAGTTACTATGAATGAAACACATTGAAAAGCAAAGATTGTTTCAAGCTCCTCCATTACCTTACTAATGCTATTCCATTGCATACTTTTCCTGACATCACAGAGTCCACCAGTTGCAAACTTGCTCCTACTGCTAGCTTGGCACAGTGATAAGTGTCCTGAGGAAGAGAAATCTCACAGTTAGTGTTAGTAACCCAAAATGCTATTTAAACTAAATGTAAAACTGACATGTTTTGTACCAGCACAATGAATAATCTGAATTGGCTGTACTAAACTGAAGTTAGCAGAGCTGAATACACTTACTGAAAGCTGAATTTGACAATGTGACTCTAATGTGACTTTCATTTAAAATATTTGTGCTTACATTACAAGGATATTTGATCTGATAAATATCCTATACAGAACCTATAAATTATGAGATTCATTAAAAGAATAACAAGCCTTTCTTATGGTTTAATGGAATAATATGGTATATCTTTAAAAATAGAGATGCACTTTATCTTTAAAAATAAAGGCTTCTAATTATCGCAATGCTTCTACATCCATTAAATGCAGAAGTCTGTGATGATAAATTATTTGGTTGAGATTTGTAATTGCATACAAATCAGAAAAATTCACCAAGATTCCTATTGCAGGTTAAGCTCTGCCACCGTATACTTATTATTTGAAAATGACAGACTTCTATTTAATGATCTTGCAACAGTGCACCATAAATGCTGCACAGGCAGACCCACTGCAGAGGGACCCTGTGTGCACCACAGGGAGGTGCCAGCAAAGCAGTACCAGTAAAATTCGAGTATTACATTGCTACACTAAGTACCTTTTGAAACAAATTTCAAAAATAAACAAGTTGGTACTCTTCCTTCTGCCTATACAAATGAACTTCTAATGCGGTAATACAAATGTTTATAATCTGAACAGGGGAAACAACTAGATCCACACCGGGTAGAAGTAAACAGCTAGGTCTACACACCGGGTGAAAGTAAACAGCATCATAATTTTCAGAGACTCTTCGGAGTTCTTCTTCAGTCATTTTTTGTGTACTCTTTACAATTTGTAAATATTCTGAACTAGAAAAAAAAAAGAGAGAGAGAGAAGGTAAATTAAATGGACTCAGGTGTAGCCTGAAGTGCCTCTGTTAATACAAAAGATCTGAAAACAAAAACACAGCGCGCTCATTATGGGTGCTTTTCCTGAACACTGTTCATGTTTCAGGGGCAACATCAATCCCATGACCCAATGAAGAGGTATAACATCTGAGAGGTTCTGGGGCTACACCAAGGCTTGCCAATCCTTTTTTCCATAAGCATGAAATATCAACACAATTAGTCAGCTCTGGTACTACTATCTGCCCGTTTCCTAAGGGATCTAGATCTGTGCAAGAAGAGCAGTGCAAGAGATGCTATCTTTGTTTTAAGAACAAAACAAAAAAGCAATGCCAAGAAGAGGTCAGGGACTCAATGTGACTCTGAATCATTTTGTTCCCTCACACCCACTTTCAGTGTGTCATTTCAATCAGGCCTTTACTGGGTGCATATCATTTCCATCTCCATGCTAGCTTCTCAGTGCTAACCAGGGCACTGAAAATCAGCATGCTGTTTTGTGGCCCTTTCCACATACTTCCTGTCCAACTGCAAGAGAGTGGCAGCCCACTTAAATTTGTTCTCCACTCCACATTATTCTTTAGGATGAGATGCAACTAAACCCCTGCTTATGCCTCTGTGTGGTCATGTGACAAACCGGATTCCCACTCCAGCTAAGAGATACAATCAGTGATGGCAGCAGCCTTATAGGGATGATGCAAAATAATGACATAAAAATGAAAGGAATGACAGGAGCTAAGGGGTTAGATCCTAAAAGACAGTAAAAACAAACAAACAAGACTGTTTGTGTTAAAACATTATACCTTTTTGCATATGGAATTCCTAACTCTTACACGGTGCTATTTATCAATACATCTCAAAAGCATTTTAAAAGGAATTAAGCATTATCATCTGTTTCACAGATGGGGAAACTGGAGTATGAAGTGGGCATATAATTTATTCCAGGTTACAAAGCAAGCCATTGGTTGATCTGGGAAAAGAAAACATGCCTTTTTGGTTTTTTTTAAAAAGCAATAAAAATAGATCTGTATATAACTCTAATGAGGAGCTGAGGTTATAGGGGCCTATTTTTTGATGAATTAAGGTGAAAAGTGACAAAAGATATCAAACCTGTGAACCAACATGATTTCTTCTTCCGTTCCTTCTCTGATTGGTACATGCATACATCTTTGCACAAGACCATAATGTTTAAGTTGCTCATAGGAGGATGTCAATCTTTCCGGCACTTCACATTCACAGATAGGACTAAAAATAAATAATAATATTATGTGTATAATATAATATAATTGAGGCTTAGTCACATTCTTCAGGTTATTTAGATTTGCCACTCTAAGTAAACAGGTTCGTTTTTCTTGTATGGACATAGAAAATAAATCTTTGAAAACTTTCCAGAATTAGGTTTGGGGCTGCCATATATATTTTAGTTATAAAAAGGTTCAAATAAAAGGGATTCATATGGTTCTTTAAAGAAATAGGGAATAAAACCCACAAAGATAGCTGCAATTATACTAAAAAAAGTAGGGATAGCTTCCTAACATAAACAGAAGCAGTTCTCAAATGTCAAACAAGATTAGTGATAACTAAACAGAAAAGTCAAAGAAAAAAAGAAGTGGAGGTTTCAATTTGATTTCTAGCTAAATCAAAAACCTTTTCTAAGCCCCCCCCACCCCAAGACAAACCAGTCCACAAAATGGAAAACTGGCCTATGCTTACACTTTTATATTCAGCCACCCAAAACTTGATGAATGAGTAGCTAAATATATCTAGGGGGAACAGCAATGGATCTTAATTAAAACACCACTGTTGCCCTAGACTCGGATGAATAATGAGACAAAGGGGTGATGCTGACTACAGGAAACCTAGTTAGGCAGATATGCTACAGGGTTCAGATTGGGTGGATGAGCCCACATATTCCTCCCACCACCACCACATTTTAGTTTATAGTCAACAAAAAAAATCCTCTAACTGCACTCATTCTTTAGCAACCCTGTGGCTACATAACTACTTTCATTGCTTAGCTCTAAGCATGTTACTGGTGGGACAGTTTGAGCAGTTGAGAAAATAACAGTTTTAAGCATCTTCTTGGATTTAGGCCTTCGACTAGCCCAGGCGTACATACTGCTCTACTGGGAATAAAAATCATCTGTGTAAAGAAGAAGTGAGAAGTGTTTTTTGTTGATTAGGATAGCGACCAGAAGGCAATGAAGATTTCCTTCCTTCACTTGGGCTAAGTAACGTAACACACTTTTATCTGATACCTCTCTGTTCAGAAATGCTAGTAGCAGTTTATGGAGACAGATGGCAAACCTGCAGTTCACTTACTCCTCCCATAGTAGTCTATGACGGGTCATTTCATTATCATAAATCAGAGCAGTTCCTGAGGCCATGGCTGTAAGCAAAGCGAGAGGGAGAACCAGAGACGTGTTTGTGCATATTTCAGGCATTTGTTTTGGAAACAAAAATTACAAAAATACACCACTGGCGGGGGGATGGGATGGGGACACACACACACACACACACACACACACACACACACACACACACACACACACACACGGACAGACACAGTATTCAGTTTTTCATTTGTTCACTTGTCCAGCCCACAAACTTTGGACAAACTGATGCTGCCAAACAGACTAGTTAAAGGAACAGCCCAGCAGCAGGATGCCGAGGCCAGGACCCCCTGGTAGTCTGGGCAGCAAATCAAGAAGGGGAGACCTTGAACCTGCCTCAGTGCAGGGCACAGGTGATCTCCCGAGCTCCCTGCTGGCCCACCACTGCCCGGAGTGAAAGGCCTGGCCTAGAAGCGGCCCCCGGTGTCCGCCCGGAGCCCAGCGCGACGCTGCTGCGTTAGACGGGGCGCGCATGGACGGGCAGCGCCGAGCGCCTCCGGGGCGCCCCGACAGCACCAGCCTCACCTCCGCGCCAGCCTGCCGTCGCAAGCCAGCCCCCGCGCCCCGCTGCGCCGCGCCGCTCATGTGACCGGGGCCAGGGCGTGTCTGTGCGACTACGCGCAGGGCGGGTGTGTGTATGTGCATGTTGTGTTTGACACTAGGTGGAGGCAGTGAGTGAGTGTGTGAGAGAGGGAGACAATACAGGATGTGTGTGTTTGAGACTAAATGCAGGATGTGTGTGCTTGTGAGAGAGAGAGGGAGAGACTAAATGTGAGACATATGTGTGCGTGTGTTTGACACTAGATGCAGGACATGTTTGTGTGTGAGGGAGAGAGAGAAAGAGACCGGATGCAGGGCATATGTGTGCCTGCGTGCTGCATGCAGAGAAGCCTTATCCCATGCAGCAAACATCTACCCCGTCCACCGTGATTTATCCCACAGTGAGGAAATACCACCCCAGAGCAAGCTGCGAGCGAATCATGGAGGGAGAAAGAGAAGGCGCTGGCTGAGCCTCGCTCTCCGCTGCTCTTGCACAGCTCCAAGCACAGTGGGGGCTGGAAGGCTACAGCATCCCCACCATCACAGCGACAAGAACTATGGGAGGTGATTTGATTAAAAAATGAGAAACTAAATCCATCCCCTGAGAAATGTTCCTCCTCTGAGGGTGTTTGTGCCTGAAAGCTTACAAAGAACAATTTTTCCATTTATTTTGTTGGTCTAATAAAAGATACCACATTCTCCAAAGAACTTTGTCCTCCTCTGAGGAATGCACTTCACCGCACGCTGCCCCCAGAGGCACTTGTGTCGCTGGTCACACAGAGTAGAGGAGGGAGAAAGGGTGCCAAGGAGCTTCCTTCTCTCTGCATCTGGGTACAGAAAAACCATGATCTCTGTTGCTGGGGGAGAGGTGGAATGGAGGGACAGCAGACAGGTCTATCAGGCTCCCACATAAGGCTTAGGAGTGCCCAGTGCTCAAACCACTGTGGCACTAGCGGGTTGGATGGGCTGATAGAGAGGTGAAAGGGGTGCGTACTGCACTGCAGGGCATTACAGTGGCTGGCATCACATAAAGCCCTTAATACTGCTACTGTGAATGTTCACATTAACAAACTCAGGTTGGCAGGTGTGAATACCACACAGGGACCTCCCAGGGCATGATTCTCATTTATAGTCCAGCCACCTTAACACCTCTATGGCATAGAAAGCACGTGTTGCGGTGGATATACATATAGGTTACATTGAAAAGGAGAATCAGGCCCGTTATCTGTCAGGGACTGTTTTGAATGTCTTTTCTTGGGCTGGACTTTGCTTCGGTCCTGTATCAGTTCAAAACAGGGGTATTTTATCAAACACTCGTGATAATAAAATAGCAAAACAAAACAAGCAGCTGTGCAGTTCAGATGCAGTTCTGTACCCCTCAAATAAAAATAAAGTATTTAAACAACACTTCTTAATTACAGAGAATCATAAGTCTAATTCCCTCAGGTTTGAATGGTGCCTTTTAGCACTGACTTAATCAGATGAGTGATGTTACTGACATCTCTAAAAGCCCTGGCACTTCTAAAATAGGTCATCTACTGCTGGCTCTGAATGTTGCTTTGAAACCAGCCTTCTTATGAAGCCCCCATGGGGGAGCTGGTATGCATAAAAAGACTGACAGTTCTTAAAATATTTATTATTTTACTAGCAGAGACCAACACAGAATCAATGGTACAGAATGAGCTGAAGTACTGAACAACCTACTTTTTTTTAAACAGCTGCTTTATTATACATGTTGGATTCAAAATAGGTCATTTCAAGTTCTGGTTGTTTTTCAAACTGCATTTGAAAAAAACCCATAGTCTGTTTCTCTTAACAGAAGCCTGTGTAACATTCCTATTCAAATTAACACAAAGGGGAGTTTTAAATACCTAGATAACCATAGGATTTGGCCTTATAATGATGCTATTCAGTTTTAAAAAACAGTTTTCCTCATCATGCTCCAGAAGGAACAGTCATGATATATGGATTTCAATGATTAGAAAAGATACATCATCTGTCAGCCTGAACAGATTGATAGCGGGGTCTCTATTCAACTGACCAATACATGTGATGGACCTTTGCTCCAACATGTGCTAATTAGCATGTGTCAGAGCAGACTCCGATTAATTAGACTCGAACTAATTAGCATAAAGCAGCCTCCGGGTCATGTGTATTCAGTGTCTAGCACTTCAAAATGGTGACAAGGGGACTTTAACTAAAGCTTGTTCAATGAGCTCTGGAGTGTGGGATGCAAAATACATGTGACGCTGCTTTAATTAAAGGGTCCTTCCCTCCCCCGCCCCCCCATCCTGGAGCCCACATGTATAGATGCTCAATGTGTTTGTTAGGAGAAGCAACCCATGGATCATCTCCTGAGATGCCCTGTAGCACTACAATGCACCCCACAAGAGCTGGCAACACCAACACCAGAAGCAGTGGCCAGTGCAGAATTTTGGGAACAGATAATTTCAAAAGGTTGAATTGAGACACGATGAAGAAGAATTCACATTAGGACCATATGAAGGCACAAGAAGAATGAACTTGCTAGTGTGCAGCTCTAATCTAGATAGGGGAAGCTATGTTAAAACAGTTTTTAAAGATTTAGTTATTACTAGGGGTCAACCCAACTCAAGGAGGCAGCCAGCCAGTTTCGCGGGCAGATCATGAGGCCAGCTGCTTTTTTCGAGGGCTTTTCATGGTTGTACCCCCCCCCTCTGATTGGCCAAGGGGCCGTAATGCCCTGTCCCCCATCACTGATTGATGGACGGGGGCTATCTGCTGTACAGCCCTGCCTCTCACTGCTGATTGGCTGAGAGGGCTGTTGGGCACAGGGCCCTGTCCCTCACCACAGATTGGTGGAGAGAGGTGAGGCTGCACGACAGGCAGCCCTCTCAACCAATCTGTGGTGAGGGGCATGGCTGTATAGCAGACAGTCATTTTGCCTTTTCGCCTCCTACAGGTAGCCTCCCTCCCCCTTCCCTTGGGTGGGCTGTGTGGCTGGTTGGACTGCTGTCTCCCATTGAGAAGCCAGCATTTTATTTGTGATTAATTTCTGGTCCCTACCCCCCCCCC